GAGATAGGAGACCAAGAAAACTAACAAACTTGGCCTTGTGTTCCCCTATCGGATTCCATCTCCGATCAAATTGGATTGGTAACCTATGCCTAGCACTCCTACTTAATGTTAAATCTCTCAATCGTGTGCCATGTCTACCTCTCCTCACAGACTGGCTCTCACTAAGGGTACCCTGACTTGAGTCATCACCAAGTGGCTGGCCAATAGTGGGCTGGCTCTGAGTGTCATCACCATGTTCACTCTGATACTCTATGTTCCTATTAATTCATATAGATTAAATTAATTAGAAAAACAAACAAATATAAGATAGTTACAAAACATAATATAAATTTAATTAAACTTAGGAAACATACTTTAATTTAAAAACTAAATTCATATAGGGATATTCTCCCATATCCCTTCATGGTGATCATTTCTTGTAGCATGTTCGTCATTTACTTCATTTACTACATTCAAAATTGGTAGCCCTGATGAGAAGGTAGGGGTTTCAGAAATATTGAAGCTTGATTCTTGATTATTATCACTATCAATCACCATTTTTCCTTTCAGTGCTATTGACCAATTTTTATTTTTTGGATCTGTCACATAGAAAACTTGTTTAGCTTGGTCTGCCATGATAAATGGCTCATCCCCATAAGTTAGTTTTTTAAAATCAACCATTGTAAATCCTAACTTATCATCAGAAACACTGTTGATGTCAACCCATTTACATTTGAAAACAGGAACTCTAAATTTTGTATAATCAACCTCCCAAATCTCTTCAATAACCCCAAAATAAGTCCTTGCTGCTAATTTAGGTTTCTTATCTTTTGAGCTAGAGAAGTGAACGGCTTCAGCCACTATCATAACCCCACTATTTTGCACTGTACTCTTTTCATCCAAGGACTTTGTGTAGAAAGAATACCCATTAATATCATACGCACTCCAACATATAACATCAAAGTTAGGACCTCCTGCCAACCATTTAATTGTATCAGAAACGCTACTTTCATTCAAAACTTTCTACTTGAACCAATCTACAAAAGTTTTATTATGCTCTTTCAACAACCTTTGTTCAGTCATTCTCATTCGATAATTTTCTGCCTTTAGAAGTTCTTTGTGAGAAGAAATGTATTCTTTAACTTCATCAATATTATTTTCTGCCTCAGGGTGGGGACCCAGGGGGGGCTGGGGGTTGAGGGGGGTGGGGACCGAGGGGGGGCTAGGGGCCGAGGGGGGGCTGGGGAGGGGGGAGGGGCCAAGGGGGGTAGGGAAAGGGGCGGTGGGATCGGGGATGGGGGGCGGGGGGTGAGAGCCGAGGACGGGAGTATGGGAAAGGGGACGAGGGAGGGAAGCACAAAAGAATGTTCTGAAGGCACGAAAATGAGGAAGGAGAAGCGCGCATTAAAAGTTAAAAAAAATTTGAACCACTTTCTACAGCGGGTCACCTCTCACCCGCTGTAGAAAACCATGTTTTCTACAACGGCTGTCCATGCATCCGGTGTAGAAATTATTTTTAACATCGGTTACCTTTTCACCCGGTGTAAAAACTATAATACGCATTATCAAAATTATAAAAATACCACTGCCTTAACTTTCTACATCGTTTGCCTTTCAACCGATGTAGAAAGTACCCCTTGAATTTCATCTTTTGTACTAGTGATGGCTGTTGTCAATTTTTTTTTTTCTTTTTTCCTGGTTTGGGATGTCTTATGTAGCTAAGATATCTAATTGTCAGGGCTTGGGAAATGTAGTCTTTTTGGAATCTTAGTATTTTCATTTTGCTATAATTTGTTATGATATGTGCGAATCAGGTAGACCTGTAATAATTGAAACACATTGGAACACATTATAGGCACATGCCTATTGCACATTTGACAGATTACAAGGTTGCTTGTTGCTCATTTTTTAAAAAATTAAAAAGCATAATGCTCATAATGAATTAAATTAGTGCTGCTCGTTTTATTATTGTTATTACAAAACGGAGTGCATTTCGAACGAAGGAGGCCAACAATTAATGACTTGGGAGAATAAGAAGATTCAAATTAAACCTCTAATGATCGCTGTGTAACATAGGGAATGGGCAAGTGACGCTGGCACACAAGCTTCCTGTGTAACAACTAACAAATTCTACTCTAAGTTTCAGCGGAAATCAGAGGGGCAAGTCAACCTTCTTCGATTCAGATCTGGAGTCATTTTCTTCAGTGGGTTTTGGAATCGAGACTTGAGTTTTGACACATAACAATTATCCAGTTTTGTGGAATTTGATGTATAGGTTGTGTTTATGTGTATGTATTCCGTGATGCTTGCCAGAGTGGAAGAGATGGAGCGTAATTGATGAAGAATTGAATTTCTATCAATGCATCGGACGCTGATGAGGTGAAATTAATGGTTCATCCTGAGATGCTGGCTCAACATGAAGCAAACGAGGACGTCCCCTTTTTTTTAATTTGCTCTTTTGTTGCATCCAATTTCCAAAAGGGATTGCCCAACCACACACACATGCACACAATGCTACTTTACTGGTCATCTATGCATTTTAAAACTCTTCACAACTTGGAATCTGATCACAAATGTTTTTTTTTTTTTTTTAAAAGCGTCCCATCGAACCTGTAATTAGGATCTATTCTGAATTCTGATTAGCTCTGTATAGTCGTCGTCTTCTCGTTTTCATTTTCTTTTTATGAAATTCTTTCCAACAAATATGATTTGATTTTGATATACTTGTAAAAACCACTCTTCAAACATATATGTGGTTAACTTTTAAAATTTACTTATTGAAAAAAAAAAAACTGACAATTTGGGAGAACGCAGAGAGTAGTGAGCTTCATTAGTTCACGGGGATCCCGCAGGCTCTGGCTGTTTGCAAAATAAACTAAATTTCAATAAAATAAGTGGTATAATATAAATAAGTGGTATAATATGAATTTTCAGTCTTAAATCTCAACGTCCATGCAAGTGGTATTGCAGTATGTAGTATTTTCACTAAAATAAAATAAATGAAAAAAATCAGGGGATAATTATAATTAAAAGTTAGAAAAATGAGGCGAAAGTTTAGTTAATTTATGAGAGATTTCAAAGAGAATTACGTGTGTGTTTTTGGCCAAAAAGAGAATTACGTGCTAAGTATCTGGTGAGAAAACTCCACGAGCGAGGGGAATTAATTAAGTAAAGAGAGAGTCAATCAGTCAGAAATACTAAAGGTCAAAAGCCTGATGGACACAAACAGACAAGATAAAGAACAGTAACATGAATATAATAATAATGATAATATTATGAATATATTAATTGGTTTCACATTAGGAAAATATCTACAAGAATCTCTCAGCCGTGGATGGATATAGCAGCACCAAATCCACGTGACCTTCTCTTGTTCCCGGAGATAGAAGGAGAGAAGAAATGAGCATGTCAGAAATATTTGACCATGTAAAGACCCCCCAGAAAAAGCACTAGCTAGCTAGGTACGAACTAATTGGAGGAAGAAGAGAATCAGTAACTGCTGGTTACTAAGACTGGATCCTTTAACAGAGAAATAAACAAGTCTGAGAAAACAACAAAGCCATCACATTTTCCAGAACCTGGTCCAGGGTTGTACAACGCTGTGGCTGGGAGCTACTTGATAGGAGCGAAGTTATTACTTGGTTAAAGAAAAACAAGAGCTCTTTGGATTGCGTGAAGACTCAATAATAGGAGAAGAAGGGTACTGCTACTTGGTCCCTCCCCCTCCCAGCTTCTCAACTCGAGAGAGAGAGCCGAAATAATAGGACCTATTCTCACAAGTCGTCATCGCTATATATATTATGGCTTTTAACAAATTAAAAAAAAATTGAGAGTTTTATTATTCATGTTAATCATTTATTAATAAATATTCATTTAATTTTAATAATAATTTATTTATAATTAAAAACAATATATTGAAATGTTTAATAAATAAAATACATAAAGTTTTAAAACTTTTAATTTATAATTATTCATATCAAATTAATAAGTAATATTTGTAAAATAATAAGTTCCGTTCATAAATTAACAACACATCATTACGTTATTACATGAAAGTGGTTAAAAGCTTGATTTATAATTTATATTTTTTTTTTGCTATATGTTATTAAAAGGCCACCAAACTTTTCAGGTGGTTAAAAAATTTATTTTTCAAATAAAATGTTGTTGGTGCTGAGCTTCGGTGACCTGCTGCTGGAGGTAGAGGTTCTGGTGACTTTGCCACCGGTGGTGGTCTAACAGCTGACGACAGCGAGATTTCTTTTTTTTTAATTACTTAAAAGGTAATTTCATCATTTTGCTATTTATTCTACAATCCTTTAGTCCTTATTTGATATTATAAATTTCACACAAAATTCTTAAGTGTTATTTTCTTAAAAAGAAAGTGAGAACTATCTATGAAAAGTGAGAAACAGAGAAAGAATAAAACAGACAAGATTTTTAAAATTTTTTTAAACTAGAGTGGTGAACTTAAGATAAACAAAACTGTAATTTTCATAAATTTTGATTTGGTGTTTTTTTTTTTCATATTTTGAGATAAAGGAGAAATTTATGTAATTTCAATAGAATTGAAAACCATTTGAGGCCAATAAAAATGGTCTATGCAGGTCTATCTAACCCCTAAAAAATTATATGATTTGATATTTATTTTACCACATGTTTTTGTGTAAATTTTTAAAATTAAAAAAATGTTTTATTTTAATGAAATTTACAAATATTTTCATTGTTTTAAAAAATAAAAATATATAGAATTTTCATACAAACTTAAAACAAAATCTATGTAATTAGCTTGAGTAAAAACATTTGAGGTGCACTGAAAATGAAAAGGGCCATGTTTAAGTAAAACTCCATCATATTGTTAGGGCTGGCAAAAAAAAAAAAATCGGAAGCAAAAAAAAAAAATCAAAATGACAAGATAAATAATTCTTAATAAAAAAAATAAAATAGAAAAAGCGAATTGACATGCAAGCTTCCACTTATCTTTAGTGGGTCAAGCAGTTGCACTATGGATGGACAGCATAAGTGCAGGGGGTTGAGTTGACTACACTACTTGAGAGGGCAGAGTCCACTTATCTCCTTTCTCTACTTAACTACTAGCGGAGGTTTGGGCTTCTTCAACACAAGAAACAACATCTTCCTGCTTCGTATGTACTTCTCATCCATATTTAATTTCTTTTGTTTTTCTTCAGTTTCAGATTAACCTTTCCTTCGTTTATGAATTAGGAATCCTCCCTTTGCTTCCTCGAACAATAATATATAACTATATACTATATGATTATTGCCTTAGATTTCTGTTTTTTTGGGGTCTGTTGATTTAGATTTTTTTTATATGATTATCAGGTTAGATCATATTCAAATATTGTTGGGTCTATTTGTTGATTTAAATATTCGAAATTAGTTTAGTTGGAAAAAAAATCAGATTTAACCTCTTTGGATCTTACTTTTTAACTATTGTCTTAGAATAAATAATGATTTAAATTAAAAATAAAAAAATTAAAGTATAAATGATTTATTTCAAATCCAGGCTTAAGGAATAATTTTTTAGGGGAATGAAAAAATTATATTATTCAGTAGAGCAATATAGTTAAAAGTAACATAACTTTTTTGTCTTCCATAAAAACAAACATTTAGATCAAAATAAGTTATCCTATGCAGTAAGGGATTTGACTAAAATATTAGGTTGGTTCTTCATAGATATTGCATGGGAGTTCTAATGAAGTTATTGGCAGGAAAACACAACAAATCATATTGGGAGTCTGATGGAGGGTGGTTTGTCATCCTACACCGAGTCACTTGGCTTTCCCCCATTGTTCAGAAAGCAGAGGATTTTGAAGTTAGACAGAATAAGAGATTTTGTCAGCTTGTGGCTGAGTTACCCTATGAGATCAGTGCATGATAGCAAACTTCAGACTTGGATTCATCGACTTTCAAATGCTAATGGTTCAGTAGAAGAAAAGTATAGTCTAATCCGGGAGGACCCGCTTCATTATTTGGAAGGACTTGCACCAATCGAAATGATGATGGATAATGAGATAGAAGCTGGAACGATACCAGATGCTATGCTCAGTTTAGCCATTGATCTTGCTGTTGATCAACTAGTTCAAACCTTACTTTCTGGGGATGAACATGTACGCAACATTCACCATGTCATGATCTCTACCAGAAATAATGCTGAACAAAGAGAAATATTCCAAAAAATGAAAGCAGTTTTCAATGATATGGAGAATATGCATCGTTTTAATGAAATCTTTCACAGAGTCTTGTGGGTTGATGCGTCGATGTATCCAAGCCAAGTTAAAGTAGAGGTACTCGTTGAACAACAAATTCGTCTGCAGCTTCAGCTTCAGAAGTTTAGTCTGGGTAATCTCCAAAAGATGATCAACAAGAAATGTTTAGTGCTTCTGTTGGATCATGCTGAGAAAACTTTAGATCTGAGGAAAGTGAACTTGCCTGCATGTTTAAATGAGGCAGTGACGGTGTTCGTTACCATTAAAACTCAAAAGCAAGCAAATGATGAAAAGACAATGGCAATGAATTTAACAATCAATACAGAAGATCATTTGTTGCCATGGAAAGTATTTGTCAGAATGTAGACAATATAATTGTTTTTAGATCTAGTGCCATCCAAAAAATTGCTGTGCGTATAGTTCAAGAATGTGGTGGCCATCTTTTGGCTATTGTCCTTGTGGCAAAGTCATTGAAGATGTGACAAATGTCAAACTCTGGGAGCTTGCACTATACAAATTGCGCTGCCTTGAACCATTTTACAATTTGAATATGTTTCAGGGTGTAAGCAAAGTTATGGTTACTGCATTCATAAATTTCATCTGGAATGATGTGAATCGAACACTAAAAAATTGCCTCATGAGCTGCTTATTCATTCCTGATATCAGAACCGGGAAGTTTCCAAATGAATTGTTGGATCATTGGATTTCTTATCGGTTGGCGGATGGCTGCAAAGCTATGGATAACTTGAGAGAGCTTGTAGATCGCTCTATCTTACTTCAATCAAATGATAAGCATGTTCAGTTACCGGAAGACAGTTATGCTATTTTGCATGCATTGAACAACCTAACCCCTATGTTTGTGAAAAAATGTGGGTTAGGGTTGACTGAGCCACCAAAGGATGAGCTCTGGCATAATGTTGTACACATGGAACTTGCAAACAATAAACTATTTGAGCTACCTTCGTCTCCAAGCAGCCCTGAACTCAAAGTTTTAATGTTGCAGGAAAATGCTGATTTAACGAGAGTCCCAGATATGTTTTTTCTTTAAAATGCCCTTCTTTGGATCTTGGACTTATCTTACACTAATGTAAGAGAACTACCAGACTCTCTTTTTGAGTTGGAGCAGCTCAGAGAACTATATTTGAAAGGTTGTGAATGCTTCATGAAATTATCATCAAAGATTGGAAATTGAAGAAACTTGAGAAGCTTGATCTTGATGGAACTCAAATCATACATCTGCCAAAAGAGATACAAAAGTTGATCAATCTCCAAAGCTTGTTCCTCTGTTTCTATGAATATCGTGGCAAGAAAAGCAAGCAATATACATGCTCAACAATCATTCCGTCCAAGGTAATCTCAAAACTCAAGGGTTTAAAACCATTTAAGTATTGATGTGAACCCTGACGATGAGCGATGGTACGAAAATGTACAAGACATTCTTCCAGAGATATTGGGACTAAAGCATTTGTTGACCCTGAGATTATATATCCCACATTTGGAACTTTTGAAGTTCGTGCCAGACCATATATTTGAGGTTGATTTTAGATTTATTGTTGGTAGGCACATGCAAAGGATCATATCATGCACACCATCCACGTGTGAAGCAAAATTTAAGCGAAGTGGTTGTAGCTTGAAGTTTGTAAATGGTGATGATACACCCAATGGAATTAAGAAGCTTGTTAGACACAGTAAGGCCTTATTCCTGGAGCGACATAAGACGATCAGGAATCTCTCTGAATTTAAACTGATGAATTTAGAGCAGCTGCGTATTTGTATGTTGGCAGAATGTAGAGAAATGCAAACCATTGTTGATGGAAGACAATCAGATAGTGCTAATGATGTTTTCTCACATTTGTTGTACTTATATATATCGCACATGAAGAGTTTAAGAAGCATATGGGAAGGGCCAATGCCACCTCACTGCTTTTTGGGTATGCTGAAGTCTTTAGTACTGCAAAATTGCCCCGAGTTAACAACTGTCTTTACCCTGGATTTTTTAGGCAATCTTTCACTATTAAAGGAGCTGATTGTTAAGGATTGTTCTAAAGTAAAAACCTTGATAAGTGACAGATCATTCAAACATAAAGGAGAGATTTTCCTCCCAAAATTGAGAAAGATAATGCTTCTACATCTTCCCGAGTTGATCAACATTTCCAATGAATGTCAAATAGGTTCAAGCTTGAAAAGTATAGCAATTTATAATTGCCCGAAGCTCCAAAGCCTTTCTAAGATGGAACTGTCAAGCCAAAATCTAACGGTCATTATGGGAGAAACCAGATGGTGGGATGCAGTCCAATGGAGCAAAGAAGAATGGGGAACAGCCTGTCGGCCATCTATGTTTGATTGCATCTTTTCCTCAATTGATAATCATGTAGAAATAATGACTCAATTTGGGATAGATGAAGATGATATTGACGATGATCCAGGTAATTTACATGCATATTAATTTAATTTTTCCCAGAGTGGAACTGAATGTCATAACTTATTTTCCTTTCATCAATAAGCTGACATTATACCTATAGTATTCCAATTTCCCTTGATTCCTTCACCTATTTAAAATCTATCACAGCAGATATGACGCCATTACAGACTCTATTTGATTACCCAAAGCAAAACACTGAAAGAATCAGCAGGTATATATGTGCATAACTGAATTTTAGGCAATTCTATTTAGAAGCTTATACAAAAGTGTGGTGTATTTTTCTAACATGAATTCTTGTATCACAGAATGATCTTTTCAGCGTCAAAGAAATATCTAAAGGTGAAGATACTTTAGACGACAGGTACAAGTGGAGGGAATATGGCCAGAAAACAGAGGACAGACTAAATCCAAGGTAGCACCACTTTAATTACCCAATAAAAAAGCAGAAAAGAGATAAACTTAATTATTGCAATTGGCATGCATCATTTGGCTCATACTGTGGGGTGTCAATGTGCAGGAGCTATTTCAAATGTGTTGAAGGAGGTTGCTTTGCTAAAAAGCGAGTGCAGAGATCTGAAGAAGACCCACCATTGTCGAAATCACATACAAGGGATGTCACACTTGCACAGAGGCCTCCAGTGTAACAGATTCATCCATGAATAATCAGGTTTACTTAACCACTCAATGTGGGGTAGATGATGATGATATTGACAATGATCTAGGTAATTCTGTAGCTATCATGATCTTGAATTTCTATTTTTAAATTAGGTTGTTGTTTTCAATGTGAGCTAGTGCAGCTTTCTTCAGCTTTTTCAATTTTAACTCTGAGCGCTTATAGTATTTGGTCGTGTTTTAGAAGGCATTAGCAGTAGTAAGGAGAGGAAGGGCGTTAAACAAAGAATTCGATTCAGAACAAAGTCAGAGGTAGAAATGTCGGACGATGGGTACAGGTGGAGAAAGTATGGCAAGAAGACCGTGAAGAACAGCCCCTACCCCAGGTAGGTTGATATGCGCGCGCCATGATGCTATTTATTTATTAACTATTTGTGACTGATGTAGTCATACAAATGCTTAATGATCTGGCCTTGAGAGTTTTCAACATGGGGGTTTTGTTGTACATGCGCTGTTACCACATGTACTCGTCGTACATATATGTGAGAGCCCTTCTTTTTGCTAGAAATGATAAGAATGGAATGGAATTGGGTGATAGAAAATAAAATGAACTAAGATGATCATAGATATATTTATGTAAGATAGGGGCAATAAAGTAATAGATATGTGTGAATAAGGATTGACATGTATAATGTCATAAATTTTGCTAGATTTCTAATTTTTAAAGAATGATGATTACAATAAAAGAAATGATTCTCATGGTTATGGCCAACCAAAATATTGGAGTAAAATCATAAAAATTTGAATGTATAGGGAATTTGGAATATATGATAGTTACTGTGAGAGAGACAATTCCTAGAAATTTTGAAGAGTTGAAGGAAATGGCACCTAAAGCTATCAAAGAAAGCTGTAATAGGATTAATAACAAGAAACATGGAGATGATGATCATTGGTTGGAAAGATGAATGCTTCACGAAGTTTTAATTCCTTGTCGCTTTGTTTTTGTAATGTGCATAAACGGAAACTGCTAGCCTGCCTGGAACATGCTTATGCTTATAGAATGTGCTAGCAGGAACTACTACAAGTGTTCGGTGAATGGATGCCTAGTGAGAAAGAGAGTTGAGAGAGATAGGGATGATTCAAGTTATGTTATAACAACCTATGAAGGCATCCACAACCACCCAAGTTATTGTCACACGGGCACCCAGGCCTCCAGCGTAACGGAGTCCTCCAAGAACAATTAGTTTGACTTGATGACTCAATTCGGAGTAGATGATGATATTGACGATGATCAAGGTAGTACTGTATCTTTTTTTTTTTAATTTTATTTGAGGTTTTGATTTCAGTGTGAATGTCCTAAACCCTTTATTCCCTGCCGTGTTAAAATCATCATAGCAGTGAAGACAGGAGATGAGTCGTTACAGCCTTTAGGTGTGAGGACCTTGAAGGACCCAAAGCAAAATGCCAACGGAGAGAAGTATATATACATAAATGCATTGCATGTAGCTCTATTTATTTATAAATCATGCAAAAAAATTTGGTGGATTTTCTAACCTGAATTCCCGTGTCATAGAATGACTGTTTCAATGATAACATTCTCACCTGGAAATCAAAGATTCCTCTGGCAGATGTAATAAAATGGAGGAAAGATGGCCAGAAAGAAATTCTATGATCCAATTATCCAAGGTAGCACCGCCTTTAATTACCAAAAAAAAAAAAAAAAGCTTATTACTTCAATATAGCATCATATGCATCATTGCTAATGATGTGTTGTCAATGTGCAGAAGCTATTACAGATGTACTCATGGTACTCATTTTGGTTGCCCTGCTAAAAAGCAAGTGCAAAGAATGATGAAGACCCTACAGAAGTCCCAGCCTCCAATCCAACAGATTATACTCTCAGTTTTAGGGGCAGCACAGCGTCCAATACAGATCTTGAGTCATTTTCTTCTATGGACAATTCTGCTTCAACCCCATTTTATGAAGATTTTGTTGTTGAAGAACCATATGACTCCGATGCGAGACACAGCCACTACGAGTTCCTTATAGTC